CATAATAGAACAGCTTCTGAAAGATCTGTCCCCTTGCCCAAGAGAGGGGTATGTGTTGTGTCTGTGCTAGAAGTGCCAGGAAGCAAACGGGCCTTGTATGGTAGGCAGCAGCTCTGCTGAGTGGTGTGGTAAGGGAGACATATGGCCATGGAGGAGCTGGTAGAAAGTAGAATACGGAGTCTGTTAGAAAAGTAGCTAGACTTTTGTTTATTGTTTATCCTGTGGTCTCAAATATGTTCTCCTTGCAAAGGGTTCAGAGATCAGTTCCTGCCTAAGAAATGTAGGTTTCTTAATCTAAGATAGGAATGAACATTGTGGAACATAATCCTTTTATTTCTTCTAAGCACAAAGGCTGAAAGTTTAGCGGTTCCTCAAATTGGGAAAAGCTGCATTTAGCTGGAAGTGGACCCCTTTCTTACCTTCTCCAAACACTTAATAATGTCTCATGAATAATATAAGGATTTTGCTTTTTTCCCCACAGGAATTTAAAGGGGTGAGCAGACTAGAATGAGAGATTGATTTTCTCTTACTGAGTGAAATGTCCTAATGAAAGCTGTTTGTAATCTGAATGATGCCATGTGGTATGAGGCATGCCATTCATGTCCTTACAGAAGGAAAATCAGGTCGATGCTGCGAAGTCTACAGCTGACCCTGCAGTGTTAGTGTCTGTGGAACCCGGAGCTTACGCAGCCAGAGCAGCCCTCTGTTCATCTCTTAAACACAGCAGCAGTGGCAGAGGGGTACAGCAACAACAAGCGAAGATGCAGGAAGCAGTAGGTTTGGATTCCAGCTTTCCTGGGAAAGAGAAGAATATTATGCCAGTGTCTGCAATCATTATGTGTGGCAGAGAAACCTCCAGAGTGGATAGGGATGGCCATGCTCGAGGAAGTCCAGAGAAAGAATCCTTCCTTCTGGGACATGGAGAGAACAGAAAACAGTCCACCCTGCTACGTGGTTTCCATGAGAAAAAACAGCTTAAGGGTCATCTGGACCTATCACTGAGCAGCGTACAAAATGAAGAGACCAGCAAGCAGCATGTGGTCCTTAGAGAGCCCATAATCTGTAAATCAATCTTGCTGACATCGCAGTCCAAAAAGTTGAAGGTAAATGGTGAAACCAATGCTTTGCTTATTTTCATAAGTCAATAGAAGGGGCCAGGAAAACATTACTTGCCCTGTTCCCACTGCGTAAATTGGAAGTTGGAGTCAGAACTGTTCCCAGCCTTAGCAGCCAGGGGCTGTTGGCAGTTTGTTCAGCCCCTGTTTTCCTTAGCCCTTGAACCAAAGACCAGAAAACTGTAGCACTTCACTGTAAGACTCCTTGTCATTTGCATATGTGATTCGTGTGCTCAGGGAGAACAGCCTGGCGCAGTGCTGCACCAGGAAAGCCTGCCCTTTCCTTGAGCGTGAAGGGCAGGCTATTGCTGTGATCGTCCTCCAAGGCAGCACAGGTGGCCTGATGTTTGGCGATGTGTGATACAGGGAAGTCAGCATTTTGTTTAAAGCCCTGAAAAATACTGCCTTAGCCTGGGCAAGTCCCCTGCCTCCTCCTTCTGTATGAATTGAGAAGACAAAAGGGCTGGGGAGCAAATTACTGGTAGAGGCTTAGATAGAATCTAGCCTCAAACTAAGCCATAGCTGTCCCGTTTGAACAGCTGCCAGTTATCTCCTAAGCTGTACCTTTGAATGTCCCGCTAGATGTATAGGAAGTCTTTACGAATTGTTTTCTCCCCAGAAGGAAGCTGGTCATGTGACTTTTCAGTCTGACCCTGAAGAATATCCCATACCTGTGAGCAGCTGGTCTGTGTATCCTTTCCTGGGCTATGACTGGATTGCAGGTGAATCCTAAACCCGAAGCAAAGCTCTCAGCATGATGTGGTAATATGAAGAGTTAAAACCCAGTTTATGTCCACTTTAAGTTGAAGTGTGACAGAACTGCAGACCTAGAGCCCACGTAGCAGGTCTCAGCAGAGCAGCTGCAGTTTTTTCAGAAGCCATTCCCTGTCCAGGCCAGAGGTGACCTGTGCTTCCCTGGAACGGTGAAGTGGCAGTTGTTTACGAATCCAGGCAGCAAATGGCAAAGCTGAGTGGGGTCAGAGGGGATACCAAGTAACCAGAATGAATGAATGAAATAAGGGACCCAAACCACACAGTAAATCTCTGGCTTGACATGATGGCATGCTCTTCTCATTATCCATTTTGGTGCTTCAGACCTTTGGTTGTTTTGACTGTTTTGCGTGAGGCTTGCTTTGGTGCTTTCCCAAATTTGGTAAATCCTTGAACTTTACTGTTCCCTTGGCATTCTCAGGGCTCCTAGATACAAACTCTTCAGTAACAGAAAAATCTGATCAATACTTTGCTGAACTGCACGAGTTCCGACAGGCCAACAAAGAAGCGTGTATTCATGAGCAGCACCTGGAGTAAGTGGGTATGGGGGAAGGGCTGAAGCAGCAATGTATCCCTTTAGGGTAATGAGGAGTATAGTCTGACTGGAGTGGGAAATTGTAAGGGTGGCTTTGTAGGCCTTTACCTCCCAATCAGAAATGTATGCTTGGAAAAGGAGGGCCTGACCCCCTGTCACTAACTGATTTGTTTGCATGTTTCTTTAGGCCCAAGGCTCTGGATTACATAGTTCCTGGACAAGAACCAGATTTGATAACCAGTTCCCATAAGTGTAAGATCAGATTTCTTCCTAATCCAATTTCTGTGAACAAAGAACTGAGCAGTCTTTGCCTGTCGTTCTGTGAGAGGACGTGCCCCACATCATGCAAGACAAGGGAGAGTGTGGTTTTTTTAGCTGCAGCTTCTAAACCAGATTCAACTTCCTACTCCAAAGATACTTGAGCCTTCTAGGGATCCTCTCTCAATCAGTGTCATCTTATTTTGTCAGGGCTTCTTGTAATTGGCTAATGTTCTCTTTTTAAGTTGAGGAGGTTGAAGTTTTGGTTTTGATTTTTAGTAACTTATTTGGGGACAGGAAACGTAAAAGATATTTCAGGAAAAGCAGCTCTTTCTATAGAACGAATGTGTGGCACTGTGGTAGAACACAGCTTTGTTGACTGAGTTGAGGAACGTTCTGACAAACTAGAAATACCATGATGTTTCATTACTCTGTGGCAGGTGTTTACTGTTATCGATTAAACCAGCGCCTCTTCACTGTCCCTGTGGATTCAGAATCTGCCTGCCCCGTGTGTAAGATCCCACGTACTCACCAGCCCCCAGAGCTACTGGAAGAGCCAGCCTATGTCAGGTAGATAAGAATTATTGCTTTGTAATATGCAGAACTCAAGGAAACAACGGGGAAGAAAAAGCTGATCATATGAGGGGCAAAACAGCATCAAAATAGCTGTGTAGAAGGTTCCTGTTCTCAAGGCAGAGATGTCTCTTGCATAAAAACTCCCTACTGCTCTTTTCCATAAGCAGAAATAGTTTTGAAGTCAGTGAGAAATGCATGTTTTATCTGAATTTGATCCAGAATCTGAATGTACATGTTAAGTGTCTAATGCCCTAATCCAAAACTGTTTCGCTTGGTTCGCTTTGGGATTAGACCCTTGGATTCTGAGTGGGGAAGGCATGCAGATTTCTTCAGCCTTGTGGAGGGTGTGGGCAATTACTTTCCTTGTGTGGCTGCAGGGTCAGCGTTCCCAGGTCTACCCTTATGCCTGCCTACAAATACAAAGCCCATCGCAGGAAGAGCTTTGAACCGGCAGACAATCTAGCATTACCTTCGGTAAGTTGCTGTCTTCATGCTGATACTGATGGCACAGCCCAGGCTGGGCATTGTTACAGCACAAGAAGGAAAGAGAATCTGTGACTCATCCCCCTGGCAGGGTTTCCACTAAAATTTCTGATCTGCATCACTGAGATAGCAAGAAAAGCCATTGGTGCGTGCTTCTGAGTTCATATCTTTGTGTAACTGGCACAAAATATATGACATACCTCCAAATGCTTTACACTGAGAAAAAGAAAGCGCTGTATGGAGCTCTATACTTCTGGGGTGTGATTCAGCTGATTTATTTCAGGCATTGACCTTTCAACACGATGAACCATACCTAAGAGTGCCTGTGATTCTTTCCACAGATGTTAGAGAGTCTAGAAGACAAGCTTCTGTGAAGTATTCACAGTGTATAGGGGCCAGGCAAAATCAATAGTGGCAAGGTTGGATTCAAAACTGGTTTTGCAGAGTCGGTCATGTATTCCAGCCACTATTACTAGTGGCTGTATTACCAGGCAGTATTACTAATCAAACCTAGCCCTGGCCTAGAGATTTTCAAGGAAGAGTAAGAAAAAGCCTGGTTTTGAGGTTTAGGGAACTGGATGAGTCAGCTGAGATGGGTTCAGAGAGGTCGGGTGCTTGAGTTCACAAAGCAGGAGATCATCTTAGAAATAATTAGCCAGTGAAAGGTGGAAGATGGGACAGCTATGCAGTTCTGCTTCATTAGAGATTTCTTCTCTTTCCTGTTAGTCATATAAAACTCCTCAAAAATTAATTAATTGCGTGCTAAAACCTTCCTGTACAGAAGTTATTATTTAGAACTAACAGGCCACAATAGATTAAAAAGGATAAAGCACTCTAATGCAGCATTCCCATCTCTTTTCACAGCATTGCCTGGCTGGCTGGGGAAATATCATCCCTTCCAGCAACCCCACGCTCAGCAGTTTGGATCTGCGAGCTTCACTGGAAGAGAAGCCTTCTCACCATCCTCGCCTGGTAAGAATAGCCTGTTAAGAGTCCCTGGAGATGCTGTGAATTGCACAGATGGGAATTGCAATCCTGTCTCTCTAAAGGGTATGATAATCATTGATGGCTCAGCAAATGAAAATGCCTGGAAGATTATCTCCTTATCTCCACAGGGAAACATTTTCCTTCTGCTGCTGTGTAAACTGGTATGCACAGACACAAAAAAGCAAACGGGGCTGGATAACAGGCAAAAGCCTTGTTCAGCTCACCAATCTTCATCAAAAAGGGAAAAGTCACCTTGGCGTTCTTTGATTAATATCCTCTTCATTTGGATTCCAGAACTCGGTGTCCAGAGTGTCAGGAGGAACCAGAACTGACCAGCTTATGAACCTGACCCACTTGACACACTTCAGATTTAGCAGTGCTTCTCAGCAGAGGGAGCAAAACAAACCTGGACACTACAGAGCAGCTCCAAATTTAAATCCGACTGCCTCAACTCTTGTGAACCACTGACTTGATTGCCCTGGGGAAGGGATGGGTGTGGAAACAACTCTATTTGGATAAAAATAAATCTTTGAACAGATTTTGCCTAGTTTTCATAGTCGTGAGCGACCAATACACATAGCTGAATGTGCAAACTCTCATACGTGTGTTTTCACTTTTCTTTTTTGCCTTTTGCAGTTACTTCTAAGCAGATGCATGAGCTTTCCCACCTAGGGCTGGATAAAGTGATGTGTACAGGATGACTAACTAGTACTGTTACCACTAGGACAACTGTAGCAACAGAGTTCATCTGCCACCTCACCTAAGTAAACCAGAAGTGTAATGTTAACTCTGAATGCCAGGGTGAGGAATCGGCCTGTGAATAGCCTGGTTCAGTGGAATGCATACAGATATGTTCCTTTCCTTTCCAAACGTTTGAAACATGACACATAATTTGGTAGTGCCTTAAACTTGAGTTACTGAATAATTTAGTTAAAACAAAAAAAATCCAGTTTATTTTCAGTGCAATGTCTGTAGCTACAGGGTGCATTACATCAGAGTTATTATGAATGTTGAAAAAGCATGTTAAAGTAAAATGAGGTTTTATTTATCAAAAAGCTAGATAATGCCTTAAAATGCAAATTATGCTTGCCTCTGCTTTTCCAAGTTTTTTGGAGATAAACCAAAAAACATTTTGGAGTTTTTAAATTATACCAAAACAAAATATATACTGTGATTTGTTTGAACTTTATAGACTGATCTTATTTTCCTTGTCTAAAAACAATAAAACTGATGTTTTATTTTGCCTTGAATAAGCCTGAAACAGAAATTCCTGCCTTAAGAATTCTGTAAGTTATTATGAAATCTTTACTAGCAATTGCATTCAGAAACTTTGGATCAAATTTATTTCTGGGAGCTAACTTGACAGAAGGAATTGGGTTTACACCAATGATATTTTCAGCTTCTTGGCATTCACTGTTATTTATATATCAAATACATTATTTGTAAATGAAATGTATGAATAGACTTTTTTTAAGCAAGGAAAGGAATATTGCAAGTTTATGAAATCTTAATGTGAGACTTAGAATGGAAAAATGAAAAGCATGACTCATCAATTTAGCTTTGCGTTGTGCATGGGTAAAGTGAATGGAATTGGTCACATTATTTCCATTATTGAAAATACTAATTTTAAAAGAAATTAAGCCAGTGAATATAAAACAGTAGCTGCCAAATGTTATACTAAATAGGGCAAATTCAAGTTTTTTACTACCTTGCCTTCACCCCAAAACATTAGAAGTCATAAACCTCTTCTTAATTTATCCTGAAACAAATTACAGCAAGCCTGCTCCGCTTTATAAACAGAGAAAATGAAGCACTGTAAGATTAAGTAACTTATGTGAGATCTGTCTGGTGAATGCAGGATGGAACCAATGTTGAACTCAAAATGTCTCTTGATAGGTAGGAATGCATTCAATCTTTTACACTTGTGAAAGTATTGAAAGTGTGATTATGACTCTCTCCTCCACTAGAAACAGGTGAAAGAAGTCAGTGACACTGCACCTGCTTACTCAAGTTAACCTCAGTTTGTCTCTTTGTATGTTGGTTCTGGCCTGTTTGATCCTGCCCTCATTTGCAAGCTGAAACAGGCTGAAGATGCTACCCATTTATGGAACCTCTTTTTTTGTTGTTGTTTATTACTCTTTCAGAGCAGAAAAGCTGATTTGCCTATTAACTTAGAGAATGACCTGATGGTTCTATGTTGTTTTTATAGTTATGTCTCCATATCAGTGCAGAATAAGCTTATATCATGATCCTTTTTGCATAGGGAATCTAACCAGTGTACTCAGGTTTTCCAGCAGAGCTTAAGCAAACTGTATGTTTTGAAATTTCTATTCTGAGTAGTGCCCAGGTCAGTTTGTAGTTGATAGTATACAGAAACAGATTTTTCTGCTGGCCACCTTGGTCTTCTCTTTCCATTCATAATTGAAATTATAAAAGATTTTGCAATTGGAGCTTGGTTAATATTGTTGATACGTGATCCGGAATTTAATCTAGAATCCTTTGTTTCTAGCTGCACCGTTTCTCTGGAAGAGAGACAGGAGGTCTGAAAGTGAGTAAATCCATATTTTTTTAAATTAGGACACCTGGCCATGGATGTGCATGGAGGCCTCATCTACTAGTAAGAAGGTGATTCACGTATAGTCAAGCTTCTGATCATAATCTCACTTCAAGGTAGAGTTACCAAAAAGATGCTTGCTCTAATTTCACGTGACCTGCAGCTGAGGTAAATGTGTGTACCCCTTTCATCTGTTTTCTCACAATCACTCTGCTGAGGTCTGTAAGGCTATGTGCCAAGCAATGTGGCTGCTGATTGTATTCAAGATGTCAAAGTTACAAATCCTAGTTAGTTTAATTGGAACGGCAGCAATGCAACGAATAACAACAGAAAAGTTATTTCTAGGAAGCGAGGTCATGCTTTATGAGAACCAGATTTTTTTATTTTTGGTACTGAATATGAGATGAAGTCTCAGTCCAAAAGATGGGCAAGGGAAGTTTTATCCAGCCTAGAGTAATGGTAAGTAACAGGCCTGCACAAGATGCCTTTGAACCATGTGCTGTGAGGAATAGTTTGGGTGTGGATACATTAATGAGTTATAGTGTAATAACAAGGCTTTGCACAGTGGCCTTGTCCTACAGTAAGTGTTATGCAATCCAAGATAATACACCCTTTCCTGAAGGACGGTGACTGAGATGTCACCTGGAGGTACCTTGTAAAGGAATACATCTATTTACTGGTTGAAAAATTGCATTTCATCCAGTGTTAAAGCAGCTTCTGCACTTGGACTGTGGACTCTGCAGCAACCCGAGCTGTGACAGAGCCAGTGCTGGAATCTGCACTTCCAGGGGTGAACAGGGGGTGGGGGTAGTGTGCGTGGGATGTCGAGATTGTGGATTAGGAAAACGGGAACGTTCTGAAGCCGGGGGTTTCTGGAGAGGAGGCTAAACGGAGGCGAGACTGTGGGAATATATAGTAGGAAGCCAGAGTGGTGAGAGATGTGTTGGGAGGAGGCTGAGGGCGTGAAATACTGGGACTGTGGAGAGGAGGGCTGGATTGGAAAAGTAGGAATGTAAGATGTGGGGTGGAGGGAGACCTTTGCAGATCTGGGGTTCAAAATGGTGTGGTAAGGAAGGGTTCCCAATAGTGTACCAGTATTTCCAGGGCTATGTCCTTAGCCACAAAATAATACAAATACTGAACTTTGTTGTGCAGGCACAGAGCTCTGGGATAGCTTGTCTCCTGTTCCTGGAGGCAGTTAAGCTGCTGCGTGGCCTGTGGCCAAGATTTAGGGAGCTATGTCCCCCTAATGCCTGAGATGCGCAGTAATCCCCAGGGAGAAAGAATTCTCTGCAACAGTTGGTGAGCAAGGATCTGCATAAGCCTGGCTTCATTTGGGTTGCCATTGCATTAGAGACTAGGAGATGTTTGTTGTAATGGTTTTAAGATGAATTTTTTTTATCTTGATCAGCTAGGGGTGGGAAGAGAGAACTCAAATGTGCCCACAGAGAGATGGAGTCTATTCCCAACTGTGTTCCGCCATGGGGCATAAAATCCCTGAGGGAGAAGGCAGGGATCCTTCACTCTGATGTGTGCAATTACAGTGGAAGAATTTACTGGGAGACTATTTGGCCAAATTGGAAGCTACTATGTTGCTCACACTTTGATGCCACTAGAAGTTGGAGTAGCCAAAGTGAAGCCCAGCATTCTTGACTTGACCTGGATTTTTTTTTTTCCGTTCATAGTACTTGGAACATGTTGTCTTAGTCTGTGCAGCTGTGTCCTCTGTTAATGGCTGGCTCCAGTGTGTGTGCCCATTTGTGTTAGTTCTCTTGGCATGAGCTTTACCATCAAAGCATCTGCCTGATGCTTTGATGGTAAAGCTGGTGGTTTAGTTCCCCTTTCTGACTGTATTGCATGTATATAACACTGATTCATAAGCTGGGAAATCCAGCTTTGCTTAATTAAACAAATTAGACACAGTAAATAATGCATTTGTGATTGGTTTTAAGACAGAAGTGTAGTTCGGCTTTTAAAACATAGCTCCGTGTGCTTCTGAGTAACAGTGTTAGGTTGCCATCAGTGTTTTGTCTGTTTGCTTCCTCTAAGATTATTGTAAGACAGTTTTGGTGATGTCTCAGGATCAGGTGTTTCTTGCTGTCAGTACATTGTAAGAATTAATATCAAGAGTGTTGAATGAATGTAGTGCTGATTATTCATTCTGTTATCAGCATGTCAAGGAATGACTGTCTCCAGAATCCTCAGATGAAACAACTGCATGTGGCATGAGCTTGCTTTTTGAATGATTTGCACACTTTGATGTCTGGGGCTTTCATCTCTTTGGAACTTGTGTTTTCAAAGCCCAGAAGAATTTGTTTTGAGTGTGTCAAATCTGAAAACATGAGAAATTCTGCCCCTTCTCTTCAAAGTTAAAAACCTCAATTTCACCAGTTTCCTGGGTAATGGCAGACCAAACGTAAGGACTTCGTTTTCTGCTTCAGTTGGTGTATTCCATTGGTTTCTGCAGAGCAAAAAAATGCTGCTAGGAAGAGGAAAAGAAGACCCTAAACTGTCAGAGTTGAGATGCTCAGTTATAGTCATAGAAAAAAGTTTTACACTCTGAAAAAACTGCGTGTCCTGAAAATCTTCCCATTCGTTTCTTTCAGAAAAATTATTTAATATTTCCCGACTTTCTTTTGTTTGTGTCAGCAAAGGAAAGCTCATCTTACTTCTGTTAATAGATAAGCTTTATAGCTTTCAGCTTTTAGATGAGGAGAACCAGAGTACCAAGAAAGGATATGAGTTACCCAAATAGTCTGTGACAGTACTGGGAACTAATGACTCCCACTCCTGTGTTTTAACTACAAGGCCAGTCTTCCCCAAACATTTTTATTTTTGATTAAGATGTATAGAATTGGAACTTTTGGTGCTTTTTCAATTTCCTTGTTTTACTTCCCAGGCATATACATAGAGCACATTTCAATTGCAACAGTAACATTAACAATTGCGTATCAGTGAACAAATGTGAAATATTTGCACAAAGGGTGGTCAACAAGGAAACCTCAGGCATATCTCCCTATTATTTTTAACTTAGTAAGATTA